GATAACTGAGAATCATTCAGATGTGTGGAGTTAACAGTTTGAAAAGATCATCTTATTGCATGATACAGTTCCTAAAGGCTTACCATAATACTTCCTGGTCCACCCATCCATCCACTGTACCCTGTACAGCTCTTGGGGACATGGTGTGTTCTCACCTGAATGTCCCAGGTCTGTCACAGGGACTCCACACAGTCGGACATGCCCGAAACAATTCACCAGAAAGCTGGGCAAGAGGCTTCCTAGTCAAGTGCTCAAGCTGCTTCAGGTATTCTTGAGCGGTTATACTCTGAGCCCCTGAAGAATGGTGAGCTCTTTCTTTATTCAAGCAGATGAGACTTGAGGTAATATAAAAACAACAGTAGAGTAACAACAATGATACAATAACCACTTTGGTTTTACTTTGTGACTTATAGCTGGTTGTTTCTTGTAGTATTAATTGATATAAATCCTATTGAGTTCTTACCGACACGTTCTTTTATTTGCTTCTTTGCTTGGTAAATATGTTTTACAGTCGGTCTGGGAGCCTCATTGTGAAGGGTGTTTGCTTTAATTCTGACATAGCAAAAAGGAGTCGGGGATTAGAAACAGTTGCCAAAATCCAAAAAAACCAAACTGTAATAAACCAGAAGTAGGAGTAAAATAAAAATGATCCACATTTTAGGGATTTGTGTTCCGAACAAAAACACATTCACAGTGTGCAAAATATATATAGATGCCTTTCACATGTGTTTACTCCCTTTAGCACAGTTTAGCAGGTGTTTGCCCGAGTGACACATCTAAGTTGTCAGCGCACCGCGGAGAACATAATCAAGTATCCAACACAAATATTTCCTGTTATCCACAACATTATGAATGACGGATTATTAGATTCTGCTCTAAATACCTGACACTCAAAAGCTCACTAGACATTGTTGCAGCAAAAGAGGAATTTTGCAAAATCTTGGAGATGTCAAAATGTGAGTGGGTGGATTTATGCCTCGAGTGGTAGAACTGGAGCCAGTTTATTTGTTACCAGGTACACGAGCAGAGCTCTGCTCTCATTTTGTGTCTGTGTACATAAATGCAAATAAATAAAGTCTGTTTGTTGTTCCGCTGAACCCTCGTTTCCATTCTTCTCCCTGCAGGCTGTATGAGGGATCTACGCCTCAATGGTCGCTACATGCCGCTGGACAGCCAGCCACGAGATGGGGTTTCCCAGGTCAGCGTACAAGGCCTGTCTGCTGGGTGCTCATCTGACTCCTGCAAAAGGAACCAATGTAGCCCCCCTTTTACCTGCGTCGACTTGTGGAGAGTGCACGAATGCAGGTGCGCACGCAAACCCACGCATACCGAATGCAATTGCACAGTCGAGCACACACGCTCTTCCTTGTGAGTCAAAAGCATGAAAACACATGCGTTTAAACCCATTTGCTCCCTTTGAAACCACTTCTCAGCCTCTGACATGGATATTATTTTTGTTCATAGGCATATAAAGATGCTTTGAAATAACCCAGCCCTGACCCACTTAAGACTGCGAAAGAAAAAGCATCCCTGAGCTTTTATTTATTGTAAAGCTAAAATGTCTGTGCAAATTCTATGGAAACCCTTTTCTAACAAAACACACATTTGCTCGTGCGTACAAACACAAAGGATGTTCGAATGCACGGCAGCCAATTCAAAGCAAATAGTAAAGGAAGACCAGAAAAGGTCCACACTGGCATCCTGTACAACAACTTGCAAAACTGGAACAAGAAGGACAGCAGACGGCCTGTTTTGGAATTTGTAACAGTTTCGACGTGGTCTGAAATGTGTGGGAGTGGAGCAGAGCAGTTTTAAACATCCACCAGGTCATGAGCTCTTTGTTTCTT